TGGAAGCATTTCGGATATGGTGCTGGAAATTTTATCCAAGTGTGGCGGTCAGACGGCTTCGATCGCCGGTGGCCAGATAGCTCAGTTGGTAGAGCACCTGACTGGAGATTCAGGGGGCCTGGGTTCGAATCCCGGTCTGGTCCGCTGCATTTTTCTCCTCTCCCGTTACACAAGCTTTTCCCAGATGGTCCTTCACCTGTCGTTTTCTTGTCTCTCCTCTCCTTAGCAACAACAGACTTCGTTCTGGCTTTTAGATTTTTCCATAATGATTTCAACTGTGTTATGGTTCTCTTGTTTACACCGTGTCTTAGAATTAAATTCTTCTCAACGTTTATTCATTCTGTGTTCTTCTTACTAACCATTCTATCATCATTCTGCTTATTTTCTATGATGTCCTTCTTACCATGGATAAGCTCTAACAAAATTTCTTTTTCTAATTCAGAAAAATTTGCTGACTTCTGTCTTGTTACCGTTATTTTCAAGGAATGAGATAATCTTAAGCCGTATTCAGGTAAGAAAGAGTTGAGTCACAGGTTTGCAACCCAACTACTTCTCACCTGAGTGCAGCTTAAGCCAGGTTTAAGACAGGGTTATCTAGTCCCCAGATCACCTATTAAATCAAGGTTACCTGAGCTACAGGTATGCATGTGGCTATAAAGGATCAGGTAAACTTGACTTAACCTCAACCTATGTTGTACTCAGGGGAGCTGTTGTTGGGTTCCTGACCTGTCACTCAGGCATCTTTTACTCGAGTGTAGGTTAAACCAGGATTCATTTTGAATATGGCATCAAAGAAGGCACCAAATTTTACAAAATTGGAAAAGGCTATACTTCTTGAATTAGTGAGTGAAAAAATATATACAATTTAACGTAAACAAAATGATGGAAGAATGATCTGTAAGAAAAAAGGAATGGGAAAATATTGAGAATGCATTCAATACAAGGCATTGTGTAAATACCAGAAGTATAATGCAATTAAAATCTTTGTGGAAAAATTTGAAAGCGCGTGTAAAGGCTGATTCTGCGAAAGATCGAAGAGACAGAAAAAAAGACTGATGGAGGAGTAATGGAGAAAAATATAGATAAATTTTCAAGCGCAATCGGTGAAATGATTCTTCAGCAAATAAACAGACTTGATAACGCATTTGATGATGATGCAAGTTTTCACGGTGATGAAGCAGAAAAAGAGGAACAACTCCCACAAAATATTGACGATTCAAACTTAGAGAAGGAATCGTCACAATCATCCTGTTTATCCAAGTCAACCTCCAGCGCCCCCCCCCCTCCACATACTGCTACTGGTGAAACAAAGAATAGAAAGCAAACAGTAGGATATCAAGACAAAGTTAAACCAAGACTCCTTGAAATGGCTTAAGTGGAACATAAACAAAAAATGAAAAACTTGAAACTAAAGGAAAGTATTCTTATATTGAAGAAACAGAAACTTGAAAATGAAATGATGCGACGCGGATCAAATAATAATCCAATTGCCTCAGAGAGCAATGATGTAACCAATAATTTTGCTGGTGTTTGGCAACCATTTGTATAAAAATTGTAACAAATTCAGCTTTGTCCAATATATTTCTCAATATTGTCTAATTATTTTTTTAAAATGTGTCTGGGAAATTGAGATAATTTACTTTGGAATCATTTTTAATTCGTGGGGGTCAATGTTCATGGGTAGGCAAAATTTTGTTGGTTCCTGGAGATGCTATTTCATGGGTAACTCGTATATACAGAAGATTCAATGAATAAATATGCTGGCAAAATAATTGTTAGTGGGGATGTAAATTCATTGATAAGGGTGACCAACAAAATCCACGAGCATTGGTCCCCACGAACATTGATGATTCCACAGTATATTAATTAATGTACATATATTACTGAAAATGTCGTATGAGGATAGACTTCAGAGCTTGTCCTCTCTGATTTTGGTTTGGCAAAATTGGGACTGGAACATCATCTGCATCGTCATCACTTGCATCAGGAACAGGGACAGCAGCTTTCCTTCCAATGTTATACAACACAGAGCATGCTGTAATAACCAGTGGATAACATAAGTCGGAGCTGATGTCGTAGACATGGAAATCTTCCTTTTCCATATTCCAAATACATTTTCTATTTTCACTCGACTATTACAAAGTGCAAAATTGAAACGCCTTTCCTCCCTGTTTGTACACTAGAGTAAAGGAGTAATCAAGTAGGGTATGAGTGAGTATCCATTATCCCCTATCAGAATTCCCTGAATTTCTTTTCCTTCCAGCCGTGTACAAATGTTGCTATTTTAAAATATTCTACTATCGTGGGTACTCTTAGGCCATCTAGCAACCATGTTGGTAAGCATCAACTCATGGTCACATATGGCTTGAACATTAATTGAAAAATAACCTTTTCTGTTCCGAAATAATTCGACACTTTCACCTCCTGGTGATTGAATTGGAATGTGAGTACAGTCTATAGCCCATACCAGGAATTCCACTCTGCTGCATAAAATTCCTCTGTGTTTCTAAAAGCTTATTCCCGGTTGGAAATAAAACATAATTTTTATATAGGGTTGCAAGTCCTTTTGGTACTCTTGTAACGATTCGTGAAACAGTGCTCTCGTGAACACCAGACAAATCTCTTAAAACTCTCAAAAAACTCCCCGTTCCATAAAATCTTAATGCAAGCAATAATTGATTGAGAGGAGAAATAGCAGAGAGTTTCTTTGTTTTGGTTCCAGTTTTTCTGTAATTTCTTGTAATACGGACATTAAACATTCTTTACTTAATCTAAATTTGTCATTAAATTCTTCTTCAGAATAAAATAAAAATAGGTTCTGTCTATCTATTATTGCCTTTTCTCTTCTTAAGAGCTTTTCCACATAATTCACCATATCAATTTTATCTATTCTAGCTCGCTCCGTGATCGGAAGGTCGTGTGCTCGAATCACGGCCACGACTGAACTAAGTCGATAAAAAAATAGGTACATGTAGCAACTGTTCCTTCGCCAAGCACTCGCCACTTTGAAGTGAAATTTGCGGGTCCTTCGAATGAGACCTTAAAAACCAAGGCCCCGTGTCACAGTAGGCGTTGGCACGATAAAGCAACCTCACTGCTCAATGACCCCGAGTGCCGAATAAAGTCTTGAAGCCCTTCACCGGTATATGTAGACCTCTCTATAATATGAGTGAAAAATTCTCGAACGGAACGTAAAACAGCATACAATCAATCATCCATTCTATGCCAGACCTTAGTTGAAACCTCCCTGTTGCTAGGTTCAGAACTAGGGTAATATACTGAGCTGATCTCATCTGAGTATTACTGGTGTGTGCAAGTGACTCGACAAATTTGAGCTAAACTTAAGCCTGGATTACACTGATCCAGGTTTTACCCTGACATATGCAAGTGGCCAAAAGTATGGTCACTCGGTCAAGTAAATAAATATATCACATGAGAAGAAAGTAGTACGATCATCCGTAAATTTAATTTTTAACAAAGGACATGGATTTTTACAATTTCACAATTTAAGCAAAAATCCAGACGACACTACTTTCCACTTAATCGATGTCTGGGTATTTCTTACTTGATGCAGTTTCCGAGTTCCAATCATAGTCTCTACATTATTTCTGTCTATACTTCATCCTTTTCCACAAATACAAACTGTCTTATTGAAACTGTTCTCCCTTTCTCGGATATGTTCATATTGTGAGCCAAAGTGTCTTGGCAATGTTTGACGTACAAATCTGTTGCATTACAATCATTACCTGTTTTGGTTTAAAGGACTAAAACGTGGAAAAACCCACAAATCTGCTGCAATACAATCATACATGTTTTGTTGTTTGAAAGATTAAAATGTTGAAAGACCTATCTCTAAGTCTTTATTCTGTGACTTGAACAATGTATAGGTACCACTCGTCAATAACATTTCCATTTTCCTTTGAATATGCTGATTGACGTCTTTCATACAAATTGTTAGGCCGGCATTGGACTAGTCTTGATGGCCTGGTGGTAGGGCGTTCGCTTCATGATCGAGAAGCCCGGTTCGATTTTCGTTCGTCGTGCCGCGTCAAACCTAAGACATAAACATAGGTAGTAACTGTTCCAAGCGCAACATATGCAAAAGCAGTGATAGGCACTGATCTATCGAATGAAACCTAGACCTTAAAAAACCGAGGTCACAGTACATTAAAGAACCCTCGCTGCTTAATGGCCCTCAGGGCCGAGTACAGGTTTAAATTTAAAGCCCCTCACCGTATATGGTTACTACTCTATATGAGTGAAAAATTCTTAGAAAGGAAATAAAACAACATATTAAAGTCAATCAATCATACCGAATTGTGTACGGATTTCTCCGTTTATTCGATCATGGTAAGGGGGTCAGGGCAGTTCTGACCTGTCGACAGGGGATACTTACTCAAAGGGTACCTAATCCCACCTGTGAAGTTTTTGCTCTGCCCACATTTTGTACAGGTTAATGAGACATTTGAACACGATTACTGTTTGCTATCAACGCATTTCATTTAAAAGGTGTTAATGCCAATTATGAATTATTTTAAAGATAAAAATAAAAAAAAGTATCTTGGCGTTCTTTGATTTGTATGCGCATTTGTCTTAAATATCAATATATTCAGAAAACCCCTGCACGATGGCTTCTGGCCATGGGCGACTCAGTTGACCATAGCTTGAATTTTCTCCAAGATGATGCTAACATACTTTCTTCATGTGTATCAATAAAGTCTATGTTGTGGCTGATATGCTATGTACAGCCCCTAAATGTTGAATAAGAATATTCCTGAAGTTGTCATTAAAAGTAACTTAGAGAAATCGTCTGATAAACCAGCCAAGAAACACAAATTTTAAAATAACTAGTCTAAATGTTTAGAAAGACAGGGTTATATTTCAATATCTACATTATAGAAAACATAAGAACTAAGATGAGTTTCATCTCCATTTGTATTTTGCCTAAGCAATAAAGATTCACATTTTCCTTAAATCATGAACATTGTTGCAATCCTGCTCAAAATCGGGAGTATTTTTAGGAATATTAAACAAGATTATATGTCCAGACAAGGGCTTCACATATTTGTCTTCGCTGTGCTGGTCTGTTCCCTAAAGCAAACAAATCGAAATCGATTTTTTTCAATTTGACGCCATCCTCTGCCATCGAATCTTTGTTCAAAATGGCGGTTGCCGTTTTCTCGGGTTTATAGTTCTCTGACACATTAACATAGTTCCACAAATTTTCACTTTCTGGAAATGACGTTACACGGACAATTTCATCACGCAGGTTAAGATTAGCTTTAAAATATTGGTACATGGTGTAGTCTTCCTCGGGTCCGCAATTTTTAACTATGGCGGAATATTTTGCTTTATCACTAGAACCCTTTACTTCAAACTCACAGTTTGTTCCGTAAAAGTCAGTTTGCTGTTTGCTTCCTGGAGAAATGTTTAAAGCCATTTTCAATGTTTCCGAAGTCGAATTCGATTTTAGTATAATGTTGCGGTTGGCACCGGTGTCGTTTGTAAACAGTATAATTGCCTCGAACAATGTGAAATCTGTCTTGTCTAAAACTAAAATATAATGTTTCCGTTAGTTGATTTGAAAAGTAACAGGGGCAATTCTTTTTTTTTTTTATAAACAATATCTGAAAAAAATACCTAAAAATTTATCATAATTATCTATTAATTTTAAAAATATCACCGGAACATTTGGCAATTATATCTGAAATCTATATCTTAAGAATAAAATTAAAGACAACAATTAGCCAAACAGAAATGAAAGCATCCCCATTAAATGTAGACTTAGGTTTGTTCAACTCGCGGATCAGGAGCTACACTGTAGGGTTTGGTCCCAACAGGGGGTCAAAAAAGTACGAGATATATGTATCGTCGGATACCCACGAGTTATGTCACATTTAACTCATCACCCATGAGCAAACACGCTGAAATATCGTTGCTGATTATAAACTAAGTCTGAGAGAAAATTTCGAGCTCTTTATTTTTAAATTACTTTGTACGTCTACGGATTTGCCTGACATGCAATTATGGCGGCTTATATTAATTTTGTTTTAGAACAAAAGTCGTATAGATCACTCACATTACCAGTCAGGTACAATACTGGGATACATTTCGTTTTATACTAATTTGGACTATTTGATTATTCCGTTTACTTGGTCAATACCAAAGACTCGCAGTGGATGTGACCGGTCGACAGGGGATGCTTACTCCTCTTGGGCATCTGATCCCAAATCTAATGTTTCCAGGATCCTTGTTTTTGCCATGCTCTCGATTAAATTATTTCTTTCACAAAAAGGATATATGAGATCGATCACTGCATCGGTGACTGGCTTTGTATGACTGTAACTTTTGTGTTAACTATGGAAAAATTGCACTCTATTATGAATTCTGTCAAAGATTATGCTAAACATTGGGCTAAATATGTAAAGGAAGACCTGAACACTTTCCCAGAATTGATTAACTGTTTTAGAAATATATTAAAGAATCGTATTAGAAAATTAAAGGGCAAAATGAGAACCATATATCCCTCCGTTTTCACTATATCGGAGGTGATAAAAGAATTAGAGGGACTACATGAACAATATGTAATGGTTCCAGCAGACAAGACTGGTATTCGCCACGACTTTATTTCGCGATATACCGGGAGTAAATTACGTTATGTTCACCTTTTCACTATATATGCCATTGTCGAACATACCTACGTAACGCAAACTCTGATTCGTTGATGTGCCATCGCGCTTACATCCTGTAGCTGATCAAATAATCTGCGCAAAGTAATTACGTAAGTATAATATTTCAGCGGGTTTGCCCACAGGTGACGAGTAAAGGATATTACCTTTTGCAAGGGATCCTGACTTTGCTTCCATATCAAGGGGACCCTGGAATCGACCATGGATCATAAACTGTGTCTTCTCTTCATTGGGATACACATTCAGAAATAAGGGTTGTATTTTTGCCTTTCCCATTGGCCGTAAAACCTGCATCTCCTGTTTAATATTTCAGAAAGCTCTTTTGATTTTAACAAATGCAATAAAGATGATAGAAAACTGTTTAAAAAGCTACGTGCATTTCTGTTGCCAGTGGGGTTTTCAGTGCTCTTTGAAATTTGCATATTATTCAATATTATTCAGATCTTGAAAGAGGAATTTTCATTTTTTTTTTTAACTGTTTACATTGATTCAAAGTAATCTCCACTAAATAGTCGTTTTTAGCTATGGTAAATATTCCCCCCCCCCCTTACACGCAAGTTAAATTATGACAACATGCACGACAACATGCAAAAAAGAATGTCAACATGTAAGAAATATGAAAATAAGATGACATGTAGGTTACTTTTTTTTGAAAATCCGATTTAATTATAGGTAAATTTACCTACTAATGCAAGCAGTTGACATCATACATGAGGCACCATATTTATGTATGTCATGCTTCTCTTTTGTCGACATGCAAGTTAATTATGCCTACATATACACATGCAACATAATCATGTTTTCATGCGTCTTAATTATTTTTAATTATGCTAACATGCGAGTTAATTACGTTGATATGCGAATTATGTTGATATCTCATATGTAAGATTAACAAATAGCATGTCAGTATAATTATATCGTATGTTAACATTAAAAATGATGCATGTTGACTTAATTAACACCCATGTTGACATAAAAAAGTTGCATATCAAGGTAATTTTATTGGCTTAACTCACATATTTATATAAATAAGTCGCAAGTCAACATAAATATGTTGCATATATAATGGCATTTTGCTGGTGTTTACAATTAAATTCATCCGATAAAAAGACATATTATCTTGTATGTACACATAATTATTTTCAATATTTTGCATGTTGATATGATGTATCTTGCATTCCTTCTGTTCTAGTTATGTAAAATTCAATTGTCTTGAGTGTTTTGATGTATGTGTAAATTTGTAATGTTTTGAAGGCTTCGTTTTAATAGCACTTTTGTGTTAAATTTAAAAAAAATTTGCACATTATAGCCTAAATACACACAAAACAAATCAGGGGACGACCATTTGATTCTGAAGGGGAGTGGGGTGGCAGATTTTGGAATTAATATTTGTTTAATGATGAAAATAAATAATATGTCCTCAGCTGGCAAGAAAATAATTAATCTCCTTGACTGTTACAACTACTACCACCCCCATGAAATTAAGTTTTGAAGTTCAGAAGGTTGGTTTATTTTTTATTTTATTAATTTAATCTAATTTTTTTTTTTTGGCTTGTCAGACTTTTTTCAGTGCTTCAATGATAAAGATAAAAAATAGTCAGTTCTTCCTTGATCATGTTGATTATATAATAACCTGTCCTTGACTGGTCTGAAAAATACAAAATCTGATCCCCACAAAATGTCAGCCCCCCCCCCCCCCAATTTAGTGGTTATCTCCTTACAGGTATAGAAGTAATTAATTTTAAGTTACTTACACAATCTCCAAAAATAATCTGCAAGAGGATCATACACACAGCAAACATAGGTCTACCTCGAAATACCTCCATCCTCACGCCGTGCTGTTTCAACTCGATGAGGACGTAAATGCATACTGCTTAAAAATCAACGACAATTACTGTTGCAACGATCAGACAGTAATTTTGTACAATCTGGCCACTACTTGAAAAATCTGTCGTAGACCAATTGAATTTTTGGTCCAATCTGTCATTGTCACAATTGATAAATATCCTGTAATTATAACGAAATGGGGAAAAATTGAATAAGACGATAGATCTATTAAAATTTCTAGAAACATGCTAATTCACGGTATTGGAAACCGTTTTTCTGAATGAGAAAATTTTGGATCCATGGCATTATTTAATAGATAAAATCTGAATGAAAATTAAGAAATCGGTACAATTCTGACTATGCGTTTTATCACTTGAAAATCGGGAGAAGTTTTTAGTGATATCTATGATTTCTTTAAGTCTATTTCTTTCGAGTTCAATTCTAATACTCATGACTCCCAGTCATTTGTAATTCTCATCATTAAATAAATTCATTACATTTTCAATAGTAATATACTAAAAGTTATCCATTGAATAAAAGTGTTATCTAAAAGTGATATTTTTCACAGTGAAAATATCAAAAGAGTGGCAAATGTTACGGGGATTTCAATAACTTCGATTAAAAGTCACCATTTCGTAAATTCTATGGTCGTTATAATGATATTGTTGGCAAATATAAACTATCATTAGGTCGTATTTTGAATGACATATTTCATACCAATTGTTAGTTCTTTGTTTTGATATATTCTCAAACGCAGCATCATATTTTAGGGGGAAATATTACATATAGGATACAATTTTGTATCTAAAAAGTAAGGACATCTTCAACTTTGTAAATAACAGTAATTTAACGGTTGAATGATTTTCATACCATTACCGGAAGTTAAGTTTGAGTCTGCTTTACAGAAATCAAAAATTGCATGTTTAACAAAACATTTGGCAATAATATGAGGTTTTAAGGATTTGTAACTGTTTATCATAAGTAATGCAGCAATGTTTCGAAAAATAAATTCCCCTTTCTTTTCCGTAAGCGATGCCAAGGCTTCCTGAAAATGACCTAAAGATCAAGTATAATATTTTTTTGAAAATTCATAATTATTCATGATTATCAGCATTTGGAACAATATGAATAACATTATATAGTCTGTTTAATTTTTGTCATTAATTCCCATCATTAATCGTCGCTTAAATTTACCTGTGTGACAAGTGGATCTTTTATTGTAAATCGCTTCTCTCCCTTGTTGCGTGACGTCATAAGAGACAACGAGAAATTGAAAGTACAAACTTTATATTGCCGGGTTTGGAACGTTATTGTTGGCGAGATATTGCCATGTGCGCATTTAACTGTACCAATAAATTGGGACAAGACATAAGTATATATTTATTTCCTAAAGACCCGAAATTGGGGAAAATATGGACATTAAATTTAAAAAGAGATGGTTTTGAATCCAATCAACATGCGACGCTATCTGAGCGACATTTTACATGACCAGTTTACAGTTTTATTAAACACAAAACGACTCACGAATTTTTTGGTTTTATTTCAAATTTATATTGTATATTTATTGGTCAGTTTGGGTTTTAGCCACAATACTGTTTGGAGGGCAAGGTTTTCAGGATTTTCGTTACAGTTGAGTAGTATATAGATAAGATCACAGGCACTTGACGAATGGTTCGTGTACATTGCCCTCTCCCCCTCCCCCTTTCCAATCATGTGTACGAAACATTTATAGTTTAAGTGTCCTAACTACACCAAATTTGTGGACAATTCTTTTTTTCAACTACACTGATGTGTCCTTTAGAGAATTATGACGTTCAATTTGCTATTTGAAACAATAATTTTTTTCATGTTTTATACCCTGAATTGGTCCTTTTATCGTAGAATGACTGATATACCGTAAAGGAACAATCTCTACAACTTGACAAAAATGGAAAAAGATATCAAATATCGAAGCATTGGTATGATAGACAAGGAATTGATGTATATTTGCTAAGTTATCGTGTCTAAAAAAACTCAGTGGGGATGGGGGTATATACATTAACAATCCGTCAGGTGCCTGCGCACAAGAATTCATCTGTTCTTTCCGAGGCGCTGATATACCCATCCGACAAATCTGCGATAAGCGAGATGTATGTAGAGTAGGAAATGATTAAAGAAATACCATTTGCATGTTGTTGTTTTTTTCATTGTGTACATAAATGTTATTCTTTCAAAGAAAAAAAATGTTTAGCATGGTGAAAGAATCAATAGCCAAAGGGGGGGGGGCAGACTGAATATGGGGGGGATTAATTGACAAGCCGAAAAGATTATTGATAAAAATTTTGACAAGCCAAAAGAAAAAAATCCAAACTCAAAATGAAAGCGTCTTTTGGCGTAGCCAGAATGGGAGTGAAGTGTACGCAGAGAGCGGCAGGAGATCGGGAGGTGAGGGTGTTAGGCTCCAACTTTCAAATACATTACCAAATTACCATGATTTAAGTACGCTTCAACCAATGTTGGGGGGGGGGATTAATCACCCTTTTAAATAACATTTTCAATAGTAAAAGGTAAGGTTTGGAAATAAGTGGGGAGGTTCCCCCCCCCCCCTTGAGTGCTGGTGAAGGCACAGAAGCTTCTGCGTTTTAATAGTTATTTCATTCATTTTCAGGTAAAATAAAAATTAGGCCATTTAGTTTTTGTTTACAATATAAAAGACGTAGTAAAATTTATTATTTCAATGCAAAGTTAATACTTTCATGAAAACTTGTAGTATCAAAATCACGTATATATACTAAATGTTAATTTTTAAATTATATACTAATAGATCATATCATTCAAAGATGCATTTGAATTTTAATTTCTCGAAGATATTTTAGGATAATCGAGAGCACTTTATTATACGAGGGGTTATCAAAAAGTTCGTGGACTAGCGTCATAAAATTAAAACCGCTTTAGGTACATCAATGAATTTTTACACATTTAGTTAGCATCATCTTTTCTATCTATAGAATAAACCATAAATCATAATTTTTATTTTTTAATAAATTGTTAGTGTTTTTGTAAGCAAAGGTATGTCCAGGCGGCGCAACCTCTAATATGACGTTTTTTTCTACCTGAGTGTAACTGAGAAAAACTCTTTAGATATGAGTATTTGTCATCAAAAAATCTCGTTAATTCAGGCATGTGGTACGACACATTTGTTCAGTAAAATTTGCAATTTTTACCCCATTCTGTAATTTCTATGAAATTTTATCGTAAATTTTATATGGAGTGTCCAAACAATTATGGGCTTGAAAATAACGTCAAAAAGGGGGAGGGATTTCTTTTTCAAACACTCTATAGAGTTTCGCTCCTGGAAAAACTGGTATTGACCTAAGGAATGTTTAAACTTGCTACAGAAAAATAAAATGCATCCAGAGTACTTATTTTTAATGCCCAAAAAGATTCAGAGAGATGAAATATGCACAGTTAGTGTCGATTTGTAGTCAGTGTGTCAAAAGTCAGTCACGTCGAAAAGTGACGTTGATCATGTGTGGTAGAAATTGAACTCCAACAAGCTAAGTATTCTGGCATAATCAGGTGAGGATCTTCCTCATATAAAGATCCATTTACAATATTATATGTATTGAAAACAGCTGCTCATGACATTGTAAATTCATATAAATAATACGGGTTTAAGTCCTTACTTAACCCCAGGTAATCTCATCAAGATAATTGCATGAGGTAGAGAGAGCGGACTTTAAGAAACAATGACGTTAAGCAGACGTCATGACACTAAACGGCGACAGCGCCGGGTGGTCACATAAAGTCTTTTTAATTTTAGAATAATTTGGCAAATTATCAACGTATCTAGCTAAAATTTTCAACATTTCTTAAACTTTTGTTGTTTTATGTTCCGCTTAAATTTTGTAAGCAAAGACTACATATTATTAATTTTATCGCGTCAGTCCACGAACTTTTTGATAACCCCTCGTATTTATATTACTTATACTATATTTATATTACCAGATATTACCAGTTTCTGGTGTTGATTGTCTCTTATGACATCACAAAAAAGGGAAGTAACTCTATTGATAAACGTTATTTTTGGCGATTTTTAAACAGGTAAATAAAGAAAATAACGAGGTTTAAAATTTTACGAATATTGTGATTCTCTCTTTTTAACTATTATTTACAACATATATCATTTTTAAGTGTTTCTATTTCCGATGAATTTGAACTTTAAGTACGCATTTCCATTGCTCTAGCTGGAAAATCTCAAAATAAAGGTGATGGAGAGTTGCAGATGGAAATATGACCCACATCACGCCTCAACAGGCATTTACGTATCATTAGCATGAATGAAAGTCCTTGGACCGGAAGTCCAAGGGTTAATACACTGCGTTTGGCTAGAGAAAATTCGATCTCATCATCTGAAAAACATGCATTTAAAATGGCAAAGAATATTTCTTTCGCTCATATCTCGAGATTGATGAACCTACTGCATCGTAGAAATCAAGCTGCAACTGTTGTGGATGACTGTCTTGCACGCTGTAATTGAATGGCCGGGATGGGGGTGTTTTTACAGTCATGCGTTACTTTCTAAAGTTAAAGGATAACCATTTAACATTTTTATCAAATCTCTGATGTTTTCAATCGAGTTTTACCTAAGTAGTGTATTCATTTTTGAAAATAATTAGATAAAAAATTCAAATATTTGTAGATTACTGCTTGTTCCGTTTCTTTTGCGTTTCATTATATAATTTGACTACGGAATATTCCGTTTACCTGATCAATATATAAGGCTCACAAGGGGTGTGACAAGTCGACAGGGGATGCTTACTCCTCCTTGGCACCTTATCTCGCCTCTTGAATCTCCGGAGGTCCGTGTTTTATGCCGTTTACAGATCTATATTGTTAGTAGGGTTTTTTTTGGGATCGATCACTGTTCATTATCTTCACCATCAGGTTGTGATAATATTTACATGATAAAGTTATTTAATATTTAAAATTTTGACCAAGTTA